AATAAGGTGGTTATTGCAACACGGCGATCGTTTTAGATGCCAAATACCGGTACACGCTGAGTTCGTCGTGGCACGGCGCACTGTCCTAATGAAGGATCAAGGTACGAGCGAAGTCTGGGCGCACCCTGTTCATTCATTTTCGCTTTCGTATTTCGTGCTTGATAGTAGAATTGATTTACGGTTTGCCCCAGTGGAATGAATTCCACCTCGTACCTCAACTGATCTCCCTCTCCGCTCCTCGTCTTCAACGCTTTCACGCCCCTCCTTAAACTCTTCATGCGATTGAAACACCTGGGCACGTCTAAGAGCACTATCACCATGCACTTTTACAATTTTAGCGTACGTTTCCGAAGCTTCCGCCCAATTTGGCGCAACATTTTCATGACGACCACCACAAACACACGTTTGCTCAACAGGACACAGCAGGTGAACTAAACAAGCTGCGTTCCAATTGGCAAAAAAATCGGAGAGCCAATTTTCACAGGCCTCTCTTGAGGCCAACTTCTCCCCATTAAGTGCGTTCGCCATAGACAGGGAAAGATAGTTATCACTTGGTGACAGGCTCGGACTATAAGGTGGGTGTATTAGGATCTCCCATCAGAGTTCCTAGAGGTTCTGGCGAGTCACCAAAAACGTGTGTAGCCTAGCGTTGTCCTTATGGATCACAATTCGGCCTCTGTTGATCAGAGATGGCCTCCTATGGATGAGGGCTACCTTCAAGCGGTACATTTGTTTGCAGTAGAAGGCCGAATTGAGAGTTTGATCATAGGGGAGCAGCTCGTAGTAGATGATTTCTTGCTAATCCCACCAAACACACAGCAAAACCGGTCTTCAATCCGGTCGTGGCCACCGTCTGGACCGCTTCGCCGTGCTTTGACCACGACCATTTGTGATCGATGTTATCTTAAGTGACCCAATTTTCATCGCCAGTCATAATCCGCTTCAGAAACGGGTCGATTTTCTTGCGATTCAGCAGCGTTTCGCAGGTGGAAATTCAGTCCATAATGTTTTTTTTTGCGTTAGTTCGTGTGGCACCCAAACATAGAGCTTCTCATTGTATACAAGGTTATGCAAATGGTTCCAAACGATTTTCTGGCTTATCTTTAGTTCCTCAGCAATTGAATAAGTGCTCAAGTGGCGGTCTGTTTCCACTATTTCCATGATTTTATCGTAATTTTCGTCGATAGGCCTCTCGACGCGTGGTACATCTTTGACATCGAAATTACTTGAACGGAACCAAGCAAACCACTTTTGTGCTATCAGAAATCGGGCCCATAAACTAAATTAGTTTTTTCAGCCGCTTTGGCTGCTTTTTCGCCTTGATCGAAGTCAATTTGAAAAATATAGCGAATTTTCTCTTTGCTGGTGTCCATCTTTGACGAGCACTCACAACGTACTGAGTCAATCAATCGAAAAAATGTAACAAACTTTTGGCGCGAATATTTCCAAGAGCAGTTCGGGCCGAATTTTTTGTACAAATTTTTTAAAAAAGATCGGACCGAGTCCTCTACCTTTTATATCAGGTGCACTCGTCGTACGCAGAACATACAATTCAAGTTTTAGGCTGCAACGATCAAGCGTTTAGACTGTGGGTTGATTTGTCACTCATTCGGAAGAGAATATTTTATACAATATATGTAGATTTCATACTACTGAAGCCATCTTGGTGAAACCCTTTTAGGGACCAGAAAGCTCGCATAGATAATTTGTTCAAGATATTTGCATGATGAATATCTGGTGGATCTAATTTGAAACCCGCGCAAGATGAGCTCTATGTTATGCCATGTAATGACCCAAACTTTGAGGGTAATTTTTGTGGTTGGCGGAGGTTCAAAGCCATGTCAGTCCGATCAAATTGTGGCGCCTTGACAGTTTTATTCCACCATATTTGAATTGCTCAACCGGAAAACCAACGGTTTGTTATTTAAACAGTCAGACTTCATCATAGCCAAGTAATGGAAAGTGAAGTTTCATTGTCAGTAAAAAGTAAAATTCGGAATTCAAGCCTTTCATGCTATTTTAACGGACTCATTTAGACATTTATATAAAAAGTCCACTGAAAGTTATTGAAAAGTTAACAAAAATTAAATGCCCACCAATCGTTAACAGCGTAGCACTTTGTCATATGCACAGAACTTAATAAATTAAACTTATCTTCAAGCTTGTAAACAAGACATTTTTCGCAATTGACTGAATATCGTTAAAGCAACCAATGCAATTACGGAATAGCATGATGCACATAAAAGCCGAACAACAACGATGAGTTGACTGCAACATCTCGATATAAAAAGCAAATACAAAAGAAGCAATCACTTGAATGAGCAGTTGCTTGCAAGTGCATGTAACTTTTGGATTTTTGGTAAACGTTTACCAGAGAGCTGAAAACTCAACGACTGCTGCTTCCGTATTGACAGGCACTTGAGATTAGCCAATTGAAGTAACAACAAAAATAATAAGAACGTCAAAGTACGAGCGTAAAAATCGATTTCCCACGTCCCGTTGACTGCCGCCTGCATGCCAGTGTTTTTTCAAATGCTCAACGTTTTTCTATCCGGTTTTAAACAATTTGAAAACCATACATAAACTCGTATATATATATATATATATATGTATGTACATTAGAATGTGCAAACATTTTAATTGATTTTGTACGGTGGAATGGTTTCATATCCGAGTGCATGCTTACTATTATATGGACATACTCGTACATATATGCATGTATTTTTTGCCCGAGAATGTCAATGAGATGTTTAGCACCCTTTCAAGTTAAATACTTTCAACAATGGCCCGAAAAATCCAATATATCATAGAGAGAACTGTAAAATTTTAAAAAGTCTTAGTTTTCGAAAAGATTATCTGCATTTGCTTGAGTGTTGTGTCAGAAAATTGGTTTCGCTGCAGAAATAGGACTTAACCCTGCAGGAAGAGTGACTAAAGATTATCTAACGATCTACTCTACTCTCAGTACATTTAACTGTTTACATGGGCATGTCCTACGATGCATTACCTTTCGCTAGTCCTTTCTGTAGTGCTGTGCCATGTGTCACTTCTATAGTACCAAATCACCACTAGATTCCATTATTGTAAATACATAAATACAAATATTCTTCTCATTTATTTCAAAGGTATTTCATGAACATAAAAGTCATATTTAGATAATAAATAACTGATATTATTGGTTTGATTATAAAAAAGAAAACAATTTTAAAAATTGGTACAAGCGGTAGATACCTCCTCTGGCTAGTTTGAGCACATTTGCTTCTAGACGAGTTTTTTCTGGAGTTGTATGAACTTTCTTAGTTGCTCTTTTAGTCTCTGAACCACAATCAATCAATCATTCAATCAATTATCAATTGAAATGGAACCTGAATTATACAAATTCTGCTACACACTTTTAACATATATAAGTATGTACATATCTTACCAAGAAGTGCAGAGTAGAACTGACTCAAGGTTTATAGAATACAAGGTTACGACAACCGAAGACGTGACGGAACCAACTTCGTCATATATACAGTTGGCGAGACTTGATGTCTTTATTATTAAAAAAAAAGATATTTTTTCGTTTAAAAAATAATCATGTATTTGAGGCTAATAAAATAGATATGGGAAAAATTTTCTTATACAAAAGAAATGACTTATTTTTATTGGTAACGCTACCGCAGTCACAGATTTGATGATTTTTTACATCTGCGTAGTATGTTTTGATGAAACCCTGGCCCGGGTGGCCGAAGACTACCATATTTGAATAAGAGTCTTACACAAAGGTACACCGCGGTGGCGTTAATACCTAAGGACCAGTAAAAGAAATAAAATATTTTCTCCCGACACATGCAAATGTTTAATGATTTTCTTAATACCGACATTTCAAGTTTTCAGCTTGAAAACTTATATCACAAAATCCATAAAACGGTTAAGGAATCTGCTATAAGATCGCCTCTTAGTTTTAGTGTTTCTGAAAATATTAATATGAATCACTCACACTAGTTATTTGTTTTTTTTTTTTTAATTTTTGTCGACAATAACCCACTTCACACTTTTTCACCACTTTGCATTTTTAACCACAATTTTTTCATATGATAAGCATCACCCATATCCCAAAAGCTTTTTAGCAGATAAAGATAATATGCGAAAATCTGTTTTCATTTTAAATATTTTATATAATAATAATGCGCGTTCGCCTGGAATTTTGATAATTTTAAAGGTTTTTGATATTATTTACTCAAGCCATAAAAATTAGATTTGCTGGCTATAGAAATAATTGTTAGAAAATAATAATAATTTTTATAATTAAAAATTTTTTGAAAACAAAAATACATTTGTTCCACATAAAACTATTCAGAACGTTTTAATTGTGATTATTATTATTATTAGATTAATTTTAAAAAATCTAATCCAAGGCTTTAGAATTTTATAGTTAAAATATTATCAGGTATACAACTTTGCTTCCGCAAGCGACATGACAAAGTCATCCTCTAACATGACAATGCTCGGCTTTACGTCGCAAAAGTGGCCGTATTCCCCAGATGTCGCCCTTTCTGACTTCCACCTATTCCGTTCGATGGCACACGGCCTGGCAGATCAACATTTTCAATCCTTCGAAGAATTAGAAAAATGGATTGCTTCATGAATAGCGTCAAAAGAGGACTCCTTCTTTCGAGCCGTGATCCGAAAATTACCGGAAAGATGGGAGAAAGTTGTGGCTAGTGAAGGACAATACTTTGAATAATATATCTGTAAGCACTTTTTCGCAATAAAGCTTTTACTTTTGGAAAAAAACGGCGGAAGCAAAGTTGTACAACTGATAAGTTTAAGTTTTCATAAGTTTTAAAATTATGAAAATTTATTTTAATATCTTCGGCAACCCACAAAATTGAACCAACTTCGTCACTAAGCATCTGGTTTCCCTCTTGTCGTAACCTGGTGTTCTATAAACCTTGGAAGTGACTCATATTTATATCATTTGTGTATCAAAAGAGTGAAAATCAAAATCATAATACTTCAAAAAATGAAATTATTTTAATTGTAAAAGGAATGTAACTCAAAAATAATTTAAAACAAAAAAATCGAAAGGAAGACAGTGGAAGGAACTGTGGATGTTATGCATTACGGGTCAGTTAAGCCAGTTAAGTAAACAATAGAACTATTTCTAACGAAATCGCTATAGATTCCGGATCAATTGGCTACTAGCAGTACTGCAGGGAAGCTTATATAAGAAAAATTATATCCTTATTGTAAGGCGAATAACCCGAGTCTTGTTTCTTTCGAAAGTGGATATCTAGCAATCAGTTTGAAAATCTTTTCTTTTAAAAACGTCGTTTGTTCGTATTAAACACTCTGTTAATAAGAGGCTGCTATCAAGATTTTGCTGTTAAGGTAATATGGTGGAAAGTGCACAGTGATTGTACTGCTACAAGGAGGAGTGTAATACTTACTCCTGCTTCGAACTTTCGTTTTCAACGGAGGTGATAATTCGATTCTCGTAAGAAGCAGTTATTTAGCAAACTTTGGTTTTTTGGCGAAACAATCCACTAGAACAATAGATATTCGCACTAGTCCAATGTTCTGGAATCACTAACGAAACACCAAGCGAACCAAAAATCCTTTACTACTCATTTTAAACTCTACGGTATATTTAATTAGTATTTTTTCTCTGTCTCATATATCTTAAATAAAATTTATATTCCAATACGCCGAAGCAATGTCCACCATCTTTCATTGGAAAAAGTTGATGCAGTCTAATATGAACCAATCATAAAAATACAAACATATGTATATATGTATTTAAATATTTTAAAACAATTTACACATATAAATATGTATTTGTACTATGTAGTTGAAAATATACTTATAAATTACACACACGCTAGTAAAAATGTGTACAATTGTGGTGTGGCATGACAGGAAAGCCAAAAGCATTAATATATTAAGTGTCATCACCAGAGCAAACAGCAGTCAGTGAGTTAGCCCAAAAATAGTAACGGTTGCCTACTGAAACCGTCATTTGGCTGTCTAACACTGTTTAAAAAGAGCGTCTTAAATTGATTACCTGTTGTTGCAAAAGTAATTTGATGACACTTATGTATGTAGCCACATTCATGTTTAAATATATGCAACAGTCGCAGTTGTGAAGTGCATGATTTCGAAAAGCTTTAGGGATAGATTTGATCTTTTTATGCCGAAAAATTTAGCACAATATTTGTACAATTGTATATATTTGCAGTGTACATAAATAGATTATGGATATGACGAACTATATATGTATGCATATATAAATCTTCTTCTTCTTCGCACCGCTCACGAGATTATAGCCGAATCAACATAAGCTGTTGCAAGTTGGAAATACCAAGTGGAATCAGGACGCTCTCTACCTGATCCTTCCAACGGAGTGAAAGTCTTACTCTTCCTCAGCTTCCACAGGTGGGTCTGTATCGAATACTACCAAAACTGGAGCACTTTCACACATTCAAACGACATGACTTAGTAAGTGTAGCAGCTGTCTCTTCATTTGCTGAACTTTAATCAATGTCACCATATAACTCATATAGCTAATCGTTCCATCACCTGCGGTATTCGCCGTTGCCAATACGCAAAGGACCATAAACCGTTCACAAAACGTTTTTCTCGGACACTCCAAGGCCCTTCTCATCGAATATTAACATCGTCCACGTCTCTGCATCATATGAGAGAGACTTGTAGAGTTTGGTTTGGGTCGTCTAGAGGGGACTGACATTATTATTGGTGTTAATGCAGGTACCTAGATAGACGAAATTATCTACGAGCTCAAAGTTATGACTGTCAACATTGACGAAAGAGACAATTTTGGTGTGAGGAGATATTTCGTCATGTCCTCGTTCACTTTCAGATGCATTCGCTACGCTTCTTTGTCAAGTTTTGATAAAGCAACAGTAACGGCGCGGTTGTTAAGGCCGATAATGTCAATATCATCGGAGTATGCCAGCAGCTGTACACTCTTATAGAAGATTGTATCTTCTCTATTCAGCTCTGCAGCTCTTATTATTCTCTCCAGCATCCAATTGAATCACACGACAAAGAGTCACCCTGTCTGAGACCTCGTTTGGTACCGAACGACTCGGAGCGATCCTTCCCAATTCTGACTGTGCTTCTGGTGCTATGCTGTCTGGTGTGTTATTCTTACTGTTCTGTCGAAGACAGCTTTAAAATCGATAAAAAAGTGATGTGTATCGATTCTTTCCACTTCGGACCAGAGTATCTGAAATAGGAATGGATAACCATCCCCTTCAATTAATCAACCAGAATATAATAAGTCGTGGGAAAAACATTTTTAAATTCCATGTAGCGGCACAATGATATTGCAAAAAGCTACACCGAGGTAAAACGCGTTGTTGTGAGAATTTTTAGGGAAAACCTGGGCAAAAGATTAGACAAGCAAGGGCCGCCGCAAAACACTTTGGAGGACTTCTTTCAAAGTATTGTTGAAATCAAAATTGTTTTTAAGGAGAGCAATTGTACAGTAACTAAAGGTGTGATATTTTTGTTTGAAAAATCACAATAATTGACATACTCGTCCCGCGTTTAAACGGGCGTTCGGAGAGACAGATAGACATATATGGCTGAAGCAATTCATCTCATCGTTCTGATTTTAAAGTTTAGTGGGTCTCTCCTGCCTCTTACTGAACCATCTATAATTCGCACCAAAGTTCATTTTCATAAATGGCATAAATCCAAATCGAATAGGTACTCCTTTGTAGTTAACTATTGGATCAACTGACGTGTCGCTTCCTCTACCTGTTGTTAGCCGATGACAGCTCGTGTTTCAACGATCTCAATTACTTAATGAAGTTGCTTGTGCGCAATAAAAATTTTACTCGTGTACGGAAAATGAACTGAAATTGAGTTAATTTCGTGCCGTTAGTGGGCTCTGCTGATACAAAATTAAACATGTTTTATATTTCTTGGCAGAAAAATGTTATATTAATTAAAATTTGTATGATAAAAATTATGTTGGTTTATACGTATTTAAGTTTCTACTAAATCGAGTTGAAGTCGAAAATAAAAGTTATATTGGAATGTCATTTTTCGTATATATACTCAATAATGTAATCCGCTGTTGGTAGACCATGAAGTGATTTTTGGATTAATTTCAATACGAATTTCCTGTAACTCTATGGATTACTTGAATATTATACAGAGATGGAGTATATGATATCTATGGTCAAGTTAATTGGAATTTGGTTAGTTTCGGATTATTTAAATAATTGTTGGCGAGGAGTAGTCGCGTTGTTTTCAGGGTTTATGTCGTTTTTTTTTATCTGTCCCTTAGCGACTAACATCAGAAGCGTAACTCAGCTCTTAAATTTGTATATGCAAATCATTGGTCTAGTTTAAAACAATCCGCATCCAAGCTTAGGTATGTATAAACGTATTCATGTGAAGCAAAAAATCTATGTTTTTGTGTCTCCAATCACCATCAAAACTAAGAAACCATCACCATCGCCAACTATGTATTTCCGCGCAATAAACGAAGGTGGTTAAGGAAACTTTTTAGAATTGGCGCTTGGCAAATACGTTTCTGCTTCGTTCTAAGTTTCAACTGGCAATAATAATTAATGGTATGTACTAAAATTCACGAAAAGCTAGTAAAATATTGAATGTTTAACTATTATTTAAGCGTTTAGAGTAATAATGTCTCAAATTACATAAACATCTACATATATATATTTATATGTGATAGCAAATTGACTTCTGCATGCGGTGTTTCCTTGGATTATTGTGAAATCCCGATTTGGTAATCTTCCATTCACTAAGTCACTTTTGAAATTAATATTCAACTACATTGTCAATGAAGAAATATGGACTGCCAAAAGAATAAACAAGGGAAAGAAAAATCATTACAAACTTCATTTAACGATTTTCAGTGTTCTTCCAGAGATATGAAACTCTAATAAAGGGAGATTTAAAAAAAAATAACACATAAAATTCTGAAAAAAGAATCGATAGTATGGTCCATATAATTTGATGTCTGAAGATTATTTCATGCAAATGTTGACCGTGACAGCGCCTCAAATGGTGCATCCACTTAGTCCAGTTTTGGCATACTCTTTCCAACATTTTGGCCGGTATCTCACGAATAAATGCTTCAATGTTGTCCTCCAATGCATCTACTGAAGTGGGCTTGTCTGTATAGATATTAGATTTAACATAGCCCCACAAAAAATAGTCTAAAACATTAGATCGCTCGAACTAGACGGCCAATCGACCGGTCCCAAACGTGAAATAAAATGTACCCCGAACTCGCCTTTCAATAAACCCATTATAAGGCGTGCTGTGTGGCATGTGGCACCGTCTTGTTGAAACCACATGTCATGCAAGTCAAGCTCTTGTATTTTGGGACAACAAAGTTTGATGTCATCTCACGGTAGCGCTCACCATTAACTGTTACGTTACGATTCGCATCATCTTTGAATAAGTACGTTTCAATGATGCCTCTAGACCATAAATCGCACCAAACTGTGACTTTTTCTGAATGTATTAAAAGCTCTTGCAATTCTCCTGGCTGATCTTCACTCCAAAATTGACAATTTTGTTTCTTTACGCACCCATTAAGTAAAAAATGAGCGATGCACGCGATGAACTTTCTTAACGGAGCACGCATTTTGATAATAAAATTCAACAATTTGCAAGCGTTGTTCGTTTGTGATACAGAACACGAAATGTGCGTCAGCTGTTTAAGCCAGTGTTGTCAAAAAGATAATAGCTAAAAAATCACCCTTTATATACTTAAGTACATTGGTTTAAGTGGGGGGTGCCTACGTACATATGTGCATAATCAACTCTATCCGCTGCTTTACTGCAAATATAGCTAAATACTTATTGAGTTAAAAATTTGGTACTATTTATTATAATGTTAAAAAAAAAAATATTTTCATATACGAGTATGTATGACCGGCCAAAATAGTTGAGTTTTTAGCAGTGCTTACTGTTTTTCAGAAGGCCAACATCTAAAAGTTACAGAAAATTAATATAAATGACGAACTAAGTTAACTTCTCTAATTGCGGTCGGCTCCCGGCAGGGAATGACAGCTCCTCCGTCACGAAATAAATAGCTCTCAATAAAATACCGTTAAGACAACCACAAATTTGCGGTTTCTACTTCGAGAAATGTTTAGATTATATATTTATCTTTCTTGGATGGAACTACGCGCATATTAATTGATCGATTTCATCCGGATAACGATAAAGTGGTAAAAATCATTACCAGGCAAAGAGACGTTCAAAATACGCTTTTAGACGATGCTTGCCACTGCATTTTAACTATTTGGTTCTTCTACCCGGTAGGACGATGGAGCTGTAGAAGGCAAGGTCTTTGGTGAAGGATGTGTGGGCAAATCGATTCATACGATTCCAATGTTTGATAACTAAATAGAGTAAATATTTAGGTAGCTTGATGAGATTAGTTTGGTAGAACGACTAATTTTACAATTGGGCTCGTAATCATTCCCTTTTGTGTACGAATGTCTACTACTTGAACTCTTCGATCAATACCGGGATAGATTTTAGTAACCCAACAAGGAGGAAGTTTTTCATTCACGATCATCTATGGGAATATCCCTTTGAGAGAACTTGTACTTACACTTGTAGCAATTATGTTCTTTCTTTAGATATTCTTCTTTCCATCGAAGTGAAGGGCTTTTAATTTTTGCCATCGATTTATTATATTTAAGAAAGGGTTCAGGGGTGAAAGTATAAGACCGCCAGTTAGAAAGTGGCTAGGTTTCAGGAATACATAGTCTGCAGAGTCGTTAGAATTTGGCGATATTGGTCGCGAATTAAGTTTCATCTGTCTGAGTGAATTGATTTCGTTGAAAAACAAGAATATGCAAATATAGTCTTTCGTAATTTTACATGCGTTACCAGTGAAGCTTTCAATATCGGCTCGAAGAAGGCTCCATCATACATATACATAACTGTTATTTTGATAAGAAAAGAATTCCTAACCTAATATTGGCAATTCAATGCCCCTTTTAGTTCCAGTCGTTTGAAGGAGACTTGGAATGAATTCTATATCGTCACGAACACACGTTTACTCAACACGACACAGCAGGCCAACTAAACAAGCTGGAGCGATGGCAAATATATCGATGGAGAGGAGAAGGATGCCCAGTGTTATTAAAATCGCGGCAATAAATCAGTCCAATTACTTAATTGAAACACCTCGTATATACAATATATTACAACATCAATTCAAAAACCTTGGCCAACCTTCTTTGGATTGGCTTTAGGGGCTTAGAGAAATCAACCTCATTTCCTAAGTATCAATGCGAAAATATACCCTGCATTAGATAGAATTTCTCATTTTTGTATGACTTCTACTTCTCTTTTTCATAATTTGTGCCTTTTGGTCATCCAATGACAACTGTGCTGGTATATAATCAGCCACTACTACCTTTAAATTTCGATCATCATCTGCGTTAACGTCATTGCAACTTTACGCAGAAATAAAACATTTAAATCTTTCAAAAACTTTTTAAGCATTTCAGTATGTTGAGAAATTTTTAAATCAAATTTATAATATAAACAAAGAGCAATAAGATTGAAATAAACCAAAATTAACAAAATTTAAAATTCAAAAAGCGCACCCTCCACTCCGCTATCATCATGGCAAAAAAGGGCAAGAAAAATAAAAAAGATAAGAAAGGAAAAGCTGAAGAAAAAAGCGATGGTGGTAAAAAAGGAAAGAAAGGCAAAAAGGGCCGCAAAAGTACAATGTCCGAGGCATTTTCAGCTACTAAAGGAAAAAAGGGCAAAGGTAAAGGCAAAGGTAAGGGTAAAAAAATGTCAATTCGACCGTCGAAAGTTTCCATACCTGCAACTGTGCCTGATCCACCAACACCACCGCCAACACCAGAGCCAAAATGCAATGACAAACAGAGAGCAGACGAGCCATGTCGATACACAGAGGATGCCTGCTGTAAAGGAGCCGTTGCTTGTCGGCCAAATCATTATCCGGGAATTTTGGAAGAACCCGAACGCATGGCTGTTGTCGGTTCGGAGAGCGGCAGCTACGAAAGTCTTTGCAAATTAGTGCGCGCTGGCATGCGTTGCGCTGATCGCGTCTTTATCATGACACCCTGGGGCAACTATGTCATCTTTCGCGCACACGATGAACAAAATAAAATCTATTTCATATATGACGGCTGTACATGCAATGTGAATCGCTTTCGGTATTTGGATTTGCGCGAAGGTACCGCCGGACTACTTTATTTCGATTGCATTCACTCACTTATTACGTACATGATGGACTCAAAGAAGCAACGCATGACTTTAAAGAATATTAAACGCAGCGTCATCGACGACATCTGCAAGGAGTTTTGCGAATTTGCGCACTGATCAAATAGTGAGATTTCATTTTGTGGCAATATTAACGAAACAACTGGATCTCTTACATAATCTGATGATAAGACAAAACTGGATAGCGGCGGATTAAAGAAAACGCCAAGCGAGGGTAATACCTATTTAGCGAAATGTTTAGGGAAACAATTTTTGAATGAATAAATAAATATATATAACTAGAAGACCACAGTCACACATTGTTGTGTACTTTTGTATTTTGCTCAATTTATATTTGAAGTGCATTCAAACTTTGACCTTCAAATATTATAGCATATCAGACATATGTAAGTATGTGTGTTCATTGTCAGAGAGTAGTCAACCCAGTAAACCCCTTCATGGAATAAAGGCCTCTTTGTGTTCATATAGGTCGGAATTCACTTCAGCGGCGACAAAGTAGCGATTGTAAAAGATTATTATAAAATGCATATAAAATAATTTTTTTTCAGGGAACTCCTTTTTTATTATAACGTTTGAATCCTGGCATTATACATTTGTGAAACACTACATTATCTAAATATCCGAATCTTGGCTTTTTGTAAACCCCGATCCATTTGAGGTAATTTTCGACCATTTTTTGCCACATTTTGGTCGGTAACTTAGCCATAACTTGACGACTGTTGGTTTTCAAGTGCTCCAAGGATAATGGTTTATCCGCATAAATACGGTCCTTCTTAAAGTCCTCATAAAAAATGTCCAACGGTGTCAAATTGCACGATCTCTGAGACCAATTGGCATGCCAAGGCGAAAGATTACATGGCCGGAAATTTCCCTCAAAATAAAGTTGTTATTTGGATGTGACAGCATCTTGTTGGAACCTACATTTCTTAGATAACAGTGAAAGCTTGTAAAGCTCAAATTGATTCTACGTTTTAGTTAGAAAACATTTGTATGTGAAAAAGAAAAGGGCTGTTTTTAGGGTTTTCCCGGCACTTATTCCATTCGCCGTAAGAACCATCCTTGGACTTCAACGAACCTTTTAAAAAAAGAATTGGCCAAATTGGTTAAGGCGTTGTTGAGTTATGCGCTTACCAACACATTTTGCGATTCATTTTTATTTTATAGATAATTATTTTGATGTACGTATATGTTCTTGGTTATAATTTTCCGCTTGATTTTAGTTGGCAATCCGGGACTAAAAACCAATTTTAATCAATATTTTCAGATGTTTGGTTTAAGAGAAATTACTCAGAGTAAATCCGAACGTCGAGAGACTTTATTACAAGCCAGGAAGACAACATCTGATAAGAGAAGACTTCTCTTAATTGGAGAAGTCGTCGCTTACGCTAATATAGTTAAGCACGCCAGTTGGTTTTTTGTAACTAAAGCACTTTATACGACTTTGGTGAGGCCAATATTAGAATATGGTTCACTGATATGGAAGCCCAATTATCGATTTAAAAACAATTTTAAGTTTTTCCATTAAGACATTGCCGATGGAACTCTACGATAAATCTTTTTCGCTATACCAACCACTTAAAGCTTCTAGCCACATCTACTCTCGCAAGTCGTAGAGAAATGTTAGGCGCCTTCTTCGTAGTGAAACTAACGGATCGATTTTTAGTTCATGGCTCTTGTATGTGGTAAACTTTAATATTCCCACTCGCGTATCTAGACTATTTAGGTCTTTACTATTAAAGTCATGTAAGACGAATTACGAACTGAATGAACTTTTTCACCAATTGTGTCACGATTATAATTTTCATTCCATTGCCTTCGATCTATCAGACTCACTTTTTGGCATCAAAAAACTATTCTTACATCTCTCTACAATTAAATTTTTAAAATTCGTTAATTACTAAATTTTAGCTGTTGAATAATTATTTTTTCTGTAGCTGAACAATTTCAAATCTCGACGCTTAACAAATGCTTCCCAATTAAGACTCGGCACATTCCGTACGTTATGCGAATTGCGCCTCTCGTATCGGTCGGGCGGGTGGAGGTTATTCGCCGGCCTTATTATTATTATTATTGTAAATTTCCACATATCTCAAAAAGTGACCGACCAACACAAATTTTTACACGACAATACTGCCTGATATACGGCAAAAGATGTACCAATTGATCGGACTTACGGTTGGGACACATTACCGTATAATCATTGTAATTTAGTGGCAACAAAGAAAAAATATCTACGATCCGAGCTATTCAAACCACCATTGAAAGCCTTTTAGAAGTGAATGCATAGGCATCTTTGGTAAAGTAGATAGGGGCCAACGGAGTTTTTGAATTAATCGGATTAAGCGGAGCTCGCAGGGCACGTCTCCAATTTGAAAATTGGTATGTTCCAACATGGAAAGTCTTACGCCTGAATAACGTTTACAAATCTATCAATTATATTACGAAAATCCACATTCTGGAAATAATATATATCGCGCGCTTCGCTCAACTTATGTTCAACAGAATCGGCTACTAGTACGCTCGCCATCACCTATCTTGAGACCCAGCATTTATTATCCCTAGACTACGTCCAGTACGCAGTGAAAATATAGTGGCCGTAGCTGAGAGTGTACACGAAGGCCGTAGAGAGTGAATTCGGCGCATTTTACTTCGAATTTTTCAGTTGAAAATATACAAAATACAGCTTGTGCAAGAATTTAAGCCGCTTGACCTTCCCAAGTGACATCGCTACCGCTCCATGTGCTCTTGAAAAGTTTCAAGAAGATCCGACGATTTCGAGCCAAATTAGGTTCAGCGATGAAGCCCATTTTTGACTCAAAATGCCATATTTGGGACGAAGAACAACATGAAGAGATTCAAAAGCTGCCATTTTATCCAGAAAAGACAATAGCTTGGTGTTGTTTGTGGGTCGGCGGAATAATCGAATCAAATCTCTTAAGAAAAATTGAGAGCACACTTCGTTGAGCAGATAATTTCATGTTTCGGCCGGTCAATTGGACACCAAGATCGTGTTGTATCACACCGTTAGACTTTTTCCTGTAGGGATATGTAAAGTCTAAAGTCTATGCGAACAATCGCGCTTTGATTCCATCCTTGGAGAAAAACATCATGTATGCCATTTGCCAGTTAATAGTCGAAATGTTCGAATTCATCGAAAAGTGGACTCAACGAATGGACCATTTGAGACGTGGCTGCGGCCAACAAGGAAACCTTAAAAGGATCGCTCCTTATGGCCGGACCTTTCAAAAATTAATCCCTATCATTCCGTCAGGTACTCCCTTTCAATTCAAGCGACTATAGTTCACTGTTCGGCTAGCGTTTGCAATCACTATCCATAAAGCTCACGGTTAACCTATGGAATTATATAGTCTCCATGTTGATATGGATTGCCTCGCTACCCCAAGTCAAAAATGGTGTTCAATTTAATTATTTCGTCGATTTTTCAGTCAGTACTAAAGTCAAAAATTTATGACATTTTACTGATAAGTTTAAGAGTTTTTGTTGGTCAAAGGGATTTTTAGGAGCCGCGGACGTCCAGAAAACATTAAAAGAATTCACAAACGCGTAAGTTGGTCGACATCAAAAAGATACCAACACACCTTGTTGTCTTTATACAACAAGAACATTTGACTTCAAGAAAGCTCTGTTCAAAAAAGATGTGAAGCGTTTGCTTACTGTTGACCAAAGACAAGAAAAAATTGCTATAAAAAAATGCAAAGAAAAAATCAAAGAAATCTCGTGCGCGCTTTGTTAGGCCCGTGACTTTTCAACCCATCTGTTACATCATAATTAATGCCAAATGTGTATCCTCTTATAATATCCAACCATTACTTACTTTGTAGCAGATTTTGTGGAATCATAAAAAATGGTATTTTGCCACCGTAGTTTAACAGACAAAAAAAGGAAGATGAATAAAAATTGAAAGTGTCATCCAACGAGTTGCAAATGCTTAGTACTTTGCCGCACAACGCCATAGTGACTGCCAAATGGTAGAACTTAATAGCTTGGTTAAATAAATTGGCGAATAAAAATCGAGATTTCAATAATTTTGCACAAAGCACACCATAGTGTGTAGAGATTCATGTACTCTGCACGACTCCTTAGGAAAATACTTGACAAGCAACGCCGTCACTTCGGTACAAACTTACAGATTTTCATCACTCAAGTAAACTTATGTATCCAAACATACACTTATACATACAAGAAGAAATAAAACGGTAGTAAAAATATCTAGCGATAACTGGAAACATTTAAAAATTGAAGATGTTCAAAGATCTTACTAAAAATATGCAAAAAATGGGCACTTATTATTAAAATTTGTTCCGAATTACATACATACATATGAGCGGATCATACTTTCCGCAATTACAAAGAAGCAAATGAGGTTTGAGTTGAGTGTTGAGCTTGGCCTCACCAGTAAACTTAGGCCAATAGGCCCATTGCCATATCGCCGAGGCACTTGCCTTCACCTTCTCAAATGATCGAACCATTTCGTAGGCCTTATGAAGGCAATATCGTTGCCTATAATCGCTGAGGCCAACTGTCAACTGTGCAGATATCAAGGCTGGACAGTAGAGGTAGTGCTGGTTGGTCTCCCTTTTCTTCGTCCCTACAGCTGCGGCAGAAATCGTTTGAGTAATAGCCTATCCTTTTCGCGTGAAGCCCCATTAAACAGTATCCGGTTATTATGCCAGTCATTATATAACGGAGAACCGGTATAGGAAGATAAGAAATTTTGATTTTTTCGCGTCCAAGTTTGTCCATAGCTCTCCGGTCACGTTGCACGTGATCTCGTTCAACCATCTTGAGCTTCCCTGGTTAAGACCAGCTTAAGCATATACTTGGCCGTGGACAGAGGTAAACCAGTATCGTGTGCGAGTTTTATCGTAGATGGTGAGGATCCTTCCCTTGCTAGTTCGTCTGTCGTGCAATTGGCTGGGACGACTCTGTGTCTAGGTACCCAGCCCACGGCAGTGAGAGTTTGTTAAGAAAGTTCCAACAATTTATGGCTAGTTTTGAAGGATGATACGGAGCAGTGTTTGGAGGTAAATGAATTGGGCTTCGAATTGCATCCGCATCTATCGTATTCTCCAGATTTGACCTCCAGTGACCACTTTCTGTTGTAAAATGTAGTGGTAATCGCCGAAACTGAAGCCTATTTTGAAACAAAGGACAAATTGTAGAACAAAAATAGTATTGAAAGTTAGAGAGCCGCTATAATCAGTGTGTCATCCGGGAAGCGAACTATGTAGAATAAAAACACGAATTGTGCAAAGAAAAATGTGTACTAC